CAGTGTGCAGCAATGAAGTCAAAGGCAATTTTGCAACTGTGGCAGCTGCAGAATCACATCCATGGGTATTCACATTTGCAGTAGTCACGCAACCGTTCTTCCATGCAAGTGCACATCACGTCCTCCGCACGCACCTCATCTCACACACCAGTCCCCAGCCGCTTTATCAGCACAGGAGTGAGCAAGGTGAACAGGAGCTGAAAATGGCTTCACTGGGGCTATGTAAAAAAGCAGGATTTATTGATATAAATATTTGTTCCAGAAATCTTAAAGTCTTTTAACAGTAGCCTTAATAAAATGCTTCTCTCCTGACCCTTCTGAACGGAAACAAATTTGTTACAGTACATGGAGATGAAACAGAGGACAGATTACAGTGACCTACCCGAACAAGCAGTCTCGTTAGATATATTTAAGTGAAAGGGGAAGAAGCTAGACACTTCAGGTTATTTTACATCTAGCTTCACGATGTTTCTGAACACCGACTAAGGGCACTGCAGCCTGCGGTTCTGCCTGCCAGGAAAACACTCAGCACGGCGCCCTGAACCAGCTCTAACTCACTTGGGTTCATCTTCCGTGACAAACCCAAGTCTTGGACACGCTACGCCAGAAACTGCAAACCTTTCAGCCCATCTAGGCCAAGCGCAAAGATCTGTTTGCTGAACTAAATTAAAAGCCTGTGACACTGTGAAGGCTTTTGCTGCAGGGCGGGTTCAGAAAATGTTACCAAACCTGTGGGCACCGCAGATGGCACTGAGTCATGGGTGCCGCACCCGAAGGCGTTTGGTTAGCAGCGAGAGGGTGATGTGTTCAAGGACATCCTTCAGTGACATACTGGATGCCACCTGCACTGCTTTGTGCTGACCAGACTCAGTGGCCGAACATAAGACTTTGAGAAGTCGGGATGTCACCCCCCCTTTTTTGTGAGATGGGTCAGGCATCCATTCTATTAATGTTCTTTTACAACATCCATCAACAAAAGACATGGCGGCATATCAGTAATAAATGAAGCAGTATGACCAGTGTGTCACATGCTGTCTGTTCTTCCTCAGGTTCAACAGATCTGTCCACTTGATATCAGGGTTTCTCCCCTCTTGCTTCCTATTTACGTGCATCCTCCAAATGCTACAGGTGTTCGTGCCAGAAAGAAGGAAGAGAGTCTAAGCTCTGAAGGCTTCATTTCCTAGGTATTTATATACTTCCCTGTTTTTCTAGTTAATTCCAGAATGGGTATTTCTCATTAAATCCAAGCACAGTTTGGTTCTACATGACCAAGATTAACTTTTTATGGCATTTATAGAATTATGTAATAAAACGTAATTAATTGTTCTTCACTGCATCAAAGCCTGAATAGGATGACAGCAATTGTACATGTCACAAGAACACCTTATTTATTTCAGATGTTGGAAGAGAGGAGGATGCTTGATAAAGAAGGCTTTAGTCCACTTTTCCAGCTCTGTCTCACCCTACTTAATCCTCCAATTGTTACATTTAATTTGCCAGTCCTGCAATACCTTTTTTAAAATAGATGTTATTTTAAAAAAATTTTAAAAGACGGTATTAGAAAGAGTGCTTCAGAGGAAGAGAAGCCACATGTAGTGGCACTTCTCAACCTGTGGTCTATCAACCATCAGAATGTAGCTGAGAAAATGGCAAAGGCTTAAGCACACATACATCCATGCAAGCAAACAAACAAAAAAACCCACCCATAAAATAAAAGTAAGAACTAAACATTCAAACTTAGCCTGTTTTTCAGCTGAGAGTGTTTGAAAAGCATTATGGCAACACTACACACATTAATAGGTTTAAAAAAAAAAAAGACACATGGAGGAACTGGGTCAAATTCAATCCTTATCTAAGAAGATAGATGTTAGCACAGTCTGTAGAATTCAGTCAAAGTCTGACTGGGTCCTATTCTATGACTAATAAAAATCATCATTAAGAAAGAATGCAAACTTCCGTGTATTATGTGTGTACATGGAAATGTGTCTCGGAAAAGATGTATAATTGCCTTTATACTTATGAGTGGCTTCTCTGCATCCTGTCTATCAAGTTGTGTCCTCCCCCCTCTTCCCATTACTCAAAGTCTTAACTGATCTGCTGTAAAGCTCCCTCTACCTGCCTACTGCATAGCTTGGTAGGAATGATCATTTCTGTATTAGTTAAAAACAGCCCCCCCGAGGCATGGATGGTTCCTGCAGAAAGTTGCACAAAGTTGTATTAGAAGCATCAAGCCTCTCCCTGTTCGACCTCATGTCCCCCCAGCTGCCCAGGGCATCTTCACCTCGTACTTAGGATTTCTCAACCGGGAAAGGAATGAGGAGGTTTTCCGCTAGCCCTGCAGTTAATTTAGGCTTTGCCACACTTCTCTGCCAATTCCGGCTGTATTAGCAGCTTTTAGCTGTCTCAGCCCACATACCACACTGGCTGTGCTACCATAACAATTGTCACAGGATAAATCTTGTTTAAGCATCTGAGGCAAGTCCTAGTTGAAAACTATTCTGCACATGAGCAAAATCAGGGATGCTGTGGAGTCGTACCCTAGCAGTCCTGGGAACCTCGGTTTTATGGTGAGGCAATAAAGCATTTGAACTGAGCACCTCTCCAGTTCCCATGGAAGACAACAAGGAGCCAGAAATCTGAAAAATCAGAGAGCCCTGATTCCCAAACTTCTGCATTCATAGGCCCACAGGGTCCAAAACCAGCTCTGGGATATCCAGCATCCGTGGCTCTTGCAGGAGCCAGACCTCTGGGCCCTTTTATGAAAGTTTGACACATTTCAGCTCCCTTTGGAAATCAAATTGGAGGTAAATTTAAAAACCTTGCCAGGTTTTGAAGAGCACAGAGTGCAGCACTGTGCTTTGTTTTTCTTTGCTTTTGTTTTCAGTTAAATTTCTCTAATCATACTCATGAAAAGACAAGATGTTATTCATTAGTATTACTAAGCGAGTGAGTTTTGAAAACCTGTGTGCCATTGAAAGTCTCCCCATCATATTTTCTTCTCCAATTCCAAATGCAAACAACACTTAAAAATGGTTTTACTAAGCCCACAAACCTGTATGGATAGTAAGAGATGTGATGGGGTGATTGTTTTTGCAAGAGTTATTTTTCCTGTCATTTTTTAAAGATCATAGTTGTCACAGTACTAAAGACATTCCTTATGATTTACTTCCCTAAACTCAGGAGAATGAATCCGGCTATTTTCTTTAATAGGTATTTATTTCAGGACAGCTCAGTGCAACACAAAGGTAGCATTACTGAGGAGTCTCACACCTTCCCTTCTGAAGGGAGAAAGGCCCTATGTGCTTCCTCTACATCGCAGTGCAAAGTCCTGAGTCAACAAGCCGCGTAAAGCGTATGTGTAAATACCGTCCAAAAAAAGGCTGTTGTCTTCACTTTCTGCCTTGCTGCTGAAGTGACTGCCTTGTCCCTCCTCCCCCGATCACCCACATTCACCCCAGGAACAGCCTCCATCCCATAGCAATAAAGTACGGCAGAAAATACTGAAAACCAACCTCCTGCTGTAAAATAAGCATCGTCATTAAATTCACGAGCTGTTTCCATCCTAATATGCCGGGGGAACGCTCCCGTATCTTTTGCTTTGTGAGAAAAACACACACCAGCTGTTCTGACTTTTATGCAAAATTTACATCAAGTTCTCGATTTTCTAAGTCTGAATTTCTCCTCCTTTGTCACTGACACCCAAATAAACAAACGAACTCAAAGCCAAAAATTCTCAAAACCACAACCCAGAGGAGTCATGCTGCAAAGCAAATCGAAAAGAAACCCGAGTCTAGAGCTTCTGCTTTGAATGTCTTCTTTAATCAGGCTCCGAAGGATGAATTCAGCAGGGGAGGGCAGACTCTGTTGGTTTATTTAGTTACTTATTTTAAGTTTTAGTTCAGAGTCAAATTCTCCCAGTGCTTTTCAGTTAACCGAAGGTATTTCAGCATGAGACATCAAATACCAGAGGCCTCCCTGAAATCTGTGTGACTGATCTTACATAATTAACACAGTCTGAGCTACTTGCTTTGAACCGAAAAATTTCAAGAGGATTTCACTAAGGGCACGAAGGGCTCTATGCTTACCTTTTGGGTTGGGTTCGTTCTAATACAGGCTCCTGCACAAGGTGGGGGAAGCACAACATGCACACACAAACATCAGCTGCACAAAAACTGTGTTAATGTCACTTATCAGCTATTTCTGTTTCCACTGACATTCAGTTTTAACCTAAAATCAGTTTGTTGTTGTTAATTAAAATCATATGCTTCTACTACAGTAATAATATAGAGGGCAAGAGTCTCAGGTGCAAAAATAAAAATTAAATTATTTGATTTTATGTAAGCACAAATTCCTAACTGGGAGTATTTTGTATGCTGGGATGCATCTTCTCAACTGGTCACTGGAAGAGTGGCAAAAGTGACTCAAGTTACTAATAGTAACCTGAGTTTGCTAATAGTATTAGCAAAAACCTAGCACTATAATCAGAATACGAGTAGCACAGCTCATTTAGGAAGCACTAGCACACAGAAGGTTGGGAAGGACTGACAGAGTGAAATCTCTTTTATATACATCTGAATACATATACGTTTGCTGTTTTATGCGAACAATGTTCATCAGAAGTAAGTTTTGCCCTGTGGGTACCTACACATTAATTGGCAGTCTCCTTTGTTATCCTGCTAAAACAATTAATGGTATGATAGTTTTTAAATAGCCTTCCAAGCTGTTTTGTTAGGTGCATTACTATTTGAAGTAGTAGGAGATCACCCTTCGTTTTGGCTGAGGCTCCTGGATCTCACCATTTTCTTTTTGACCCCCAGCTCTGTTGTACTTTACTTATGCAAAAGCCCCCCGATTTCAGCAGGACCGTTCAAACACAAAGCTACTTACATGCGCAAGCACTTGCAGAACCAGGGCAGTGAGCAAACACAATTTTATTCCCTTTATTCTACTGTTTCCCCAGCATAAAAACCTTATTGGTCTTCTACAACATTGCCTCATACCTTGTCTGTCTTTTTTTCTTGTTTTTCCAATATGGCCATGTTTTCTTTCAGAATTTTCACAATCTCAGCAGGATTTTTGTGCGATTTACTAAACAAAGGCATGGTTTTTCTTCACCTGGATTTCTTCCTTCAGGATAGAAGAGGACTGCCTTAAATCAAACGAGAAACAAAAATAGTTTTTAAGGTTTATACGAAAATGCAATAAAAACAAAGACATTATGAACAAGAAAAGGTTATGCCTTAGGCACTATATTTTGCTTCAGCTACTCAGTAAAGCCGTAAAAGTTCTCACGTACAGTTACTGCAAGTTCATCCATGATTCACAAGCCACCGTTAGCACATGGAAAGCAACTACTCGGCACCTGCGCAGGAGCTGGATGCTTCCTAAAGTCCCTGACCTACAGGTCAGCGCTCCAGCGAGTCTATGCCTATGTCCAACGTTTTTTGGACACTGCGTATCTGGCAGGCTCCACTAGATTTCTGATAGGGGTTTCTGCCAAACTTCACCAGTTTCACCGCGATGCAGATAACTAACAGTAGACGCCAGCGTACCAAAAGCGTCCTTTGTTTAGAGTATCGCAAGATAAGGTCCCAGCTTCTCCACCATTGCTCCTCCTTCTTCAGCTGCTTTTCTTTTTCAGCCTAAAGCTTCTCGAGAAGAAGCAGTTGAAGCTACCCCCTAAGTCTGACAGACTTCAAGAATCTGTGGGTCAGATCTCACTTGTGTAAAACATAGCCTGAATTAAATAAGGAACAGAGGATCAGGCCCAAATACGGACACAAATGTTTTCATGACATTTAAATGAAAGACTGAGCATTTTAATGAAAATGGTTTTGTTTGTTTAATTTAAAACATTCTTCCTCTGTATGGTTAGAAAGGCAAATATCACATCACTGTATTTATACATGAAAGAAACCAAGTAGCTTAGTTTCTGATCCTACATAGCATTAAGTTGTGAATTCCCATGGGTTTTGCTGAGGGTCTGATACAAAGATCTACTGAAATCAATAGAAATACGCTCTGGTTAAGGCAGTACCACTTTCCAGGGAGAGCACAGCACCATTCTGGACTGCATTCCAGTTTGTACAATAACGAAGAAGAGGTTAAAAAAAAAAAGACAAAAATAATCTCAAACTTTCATCTCTTTCCACAACAAAAGACAACCATCACTGTCCCTCCCCTCACACATTTGCAAGATTAGTTGTGAAAACATAAATATATACAAAAAACACTTCAATCTCCTTATTCTTCTTCAACTTTTACAATTTTAAAAAAGCTTTATACAAGAGGTTTTAAAGGAGAGAATTAAACGAGCACAATACACACAGGATAAAGAAGAAAACCCAGTGGTCCCAAAGAACCCACTCCTGTCACGCTTCGTTGTTACTACTGACACACTACAGAGTCCATCAGGAAGTATGAGCCCATTTGTGCCATACATCCATGCGTTACTAATCCCCAAATATCCTATGGAATTAATAGCCAGTTAGATATACACTGTCCCTCCCCTCACACATTTGCAAGATTAGTTGTGAAAACATAAATATATACAAAAAACACTTCAATCTCCTTATTCTTCTTCAACTTTTACAATTTTAAAAAAGCTTTATACAAGAGGTTTTAAAGGAGAGAATTAAACGAGCACAATACACACAGGATAAAGAAGAAAACCCAGTGGTCCCAAAGAACCCACTCCTGTCACGCTTCGTTGTTACTACTGACACACTACAGAGTCCATCAGGAAGTATGAGCCCATTTGTGCCATACATCCATGCGTTACTAATCCCCAAATATCCTATGGAATTAATAGCCAGATTAGATATACATTCTATTACAACTATAAATAGCAACCATATAAAACAGCCGAGTACAAAATTCAAACCATAGAGGAATACTTTAAAAAAATAAAAAAAAACCTGTACAAACTCTGTCCTAACATCTTATTAAAAACATTTCAAAATATTTTTGCAGATTATCTTTACAAGAACAGTTTCTATGACACACAGGAAATATTTTTAAATGTCTTATTTAAACCAAAAGTTCCTTTGTAGTGTCCAGAGTAGGTGAATTTGTATATAGCTTCTCATTTGTTGCTAGGTCAGTTTTACAGGAATATTTTCATGTTCAACGTCTGAAAGCTCACCACTTTTGGATTTCCATTTTCAAGCTCCTCATGGTTCAGTTCAAACTCATTTTTATTTCTGCAGTTTTGGCTACGTAACCCTCACTCCTTGGCTGAGCTCTCAACTGCGGAGTCCTGCTCCCATGGAGCTCACAACTGCAAGCTTTGGCAGCACCATCCAACTAGCAACAGAGCAGAGTCACACCTCAACCTGACAACGTGCAAGACTGAAGACTGAGCATACTAACGACTAACTCATTTGGGCATGTTCAGCTACATTACAAGCACTGGAAAAGACTGGGATGCCAGTATTATACAATAAATTTGTTTAAACGCTGCTAGCAAGCGCCAAGCACCCCGTAATCCCGCACGTGCTGCAATTAAAAGATTAATAATTCACAACACACTTTGAGAAGAACTTGATTCTACATGTTTTTATTATCCGTGAAGACACAGCATGAGGATGTGAAGATGCAAGAGAGAGAGAGTCTGAGAGCAGGAGCTTAGCAGGCACGTTGCATTTCAGAAAAGAAGTATTTTCATCTAAGGTGGGGCAGGTTTATTCAGATTGCTGAAGCCATCCCTTCAGCTTCCCCTTCTAGAAGTCTCTACACAAGGAAAAGCAAAGGGGGAGATAATTTGATTTTTAAATTGAAGTACTCATGAGCTAGAGGTTCTGAGATTTTAAAAAAATGAAGTCCATATTTCTAACTGAAATGTCGACTATAAATTAGAAACACATTTTCCTCCCAAAAAGTAACTTACATAGCTGCCTAGACTATGGTGTCTGTATTTAAATAATCACTAATTTTGCCATAAAACTCCAACAGCCAGGCTAGCACTTTTCCACTGTGTAGTTCCAGTCTCACCACCAAGTCACCACAGCACTGCTCAGTGATAAAATACCATTCCTCTTCACTTCATACCCTACCAGTGTCCTAATCGCAAAAGCAAAATCACTGATAATAGGACAGGAAGGGACTCAAGAGACTGTTTAGTTCATCCCTCTGCTGAACAGAGCCAAGTCTCTGCTTCACTTCATTTATCAGTCTTACACACAAAGCAAAGCATCCACTGTATGCAAGCGGAGGCAGAGAGAAAAAGGGGACGAACCCCAGACGTGCACTGAAGAACATTTTTGGATTTACCCCTTTTCAGGACAGTTTTTAACCCATCAGCAGCTGGCAAAAGATGATCCATCACTTCAGAATATACCTGGCAGCTGCAGGTTCTGGTCCCTTTAGCTTCTCCATGCAGGAATCTCCTAGGGGGCATGTGCTATTCACAATTACAGGTAGAAGCAAACGGGGGCAAAGTTACTTCGCTGAGATTTGGGAGTTGTACTCCTTAGACTTATGCCTGGCTACTCCATAAGGCACATGGCAAAACAAGGACTCCTCTCCTCCAGCTTTGCTCCCCATGACTGGATTCTCCAGCATCAAAGAAAGCATGAGCTCTTGCTAAAGCTCTTAACACAGCTGGGCATTTCTGCCCTGTCCTCCTCCTTGTATCAGCTTTCTGCTCTCTAAGCTTTTCTTGGAAGGTCTTCTCTTCGGTAGAGGCACTAATTTGGTTTAAATTCCCTATTCCTTTCATCACTTATTTTCAGTCCACTTTTTGGAACTCGATATTTTCCAGGCATCTAGCCCTCTGTCAAGGTTGCTTGAAATTGGCTAGTAAGTTCAAAAGTTACCATGGGAAGAGAAGTAGGATGAGAGATGAACAGTGTGACCACATCAGCTTCGTTTTCTCAAGAAACCAGTCTAAAAATAACTGAAATACAAAGATGAATGACAACTGAAAAGAATGCAACACAGGCTTACCAAAGGTAGCTCATACTACAATCCCTTATGAATATATTTTTAGACAGAGAAAACACAGTAGAACCCATGCATCTAACATGGAAATACACTAAATTGGATACAGTAGAAAATAAACTAGTTGAAGGAAAATTATCATGTAAAGGGAGACTGATTGTCTGAGAAGGTAAGAGCAATTTGGGGACAGGATCATATTTAGAGAGGCATAGGAATTAAGAGCCTACCCAAAAATTGTGGTAACTCAAAATAGGAAGATATTAGCAACACAGAAGAGAACTGGAATATAATTACCTGAGAAACTGGATTGCCTCAAGGACTGAGATAATAAGAATGGGATAAAAATTGAAAGTAGAAAGTTTCAGATAATGCTGAATGGCAGGAGAGACAGAGAGTTTGTAGATGCCCCATCTCCAGAAACATTCAAGGTCAGGTTGGATGGGGCTCTGAGCAACCTGATCTAGTTGAAGATCTACATCTAGATCCAACACCCCCCCCCATGGCAGGGGGTTGGTCTAGATGAGCTTTAGT